AAGAGTTGGTTTTCCACTTAACCATCCAGGTACGAAGCAAAACATATTATGCAACAATTTCTAGATAAATATAAAGTGCAGTATATAGCGAAAAAACGATCCATCAACAGAGAAACAAGAATATTTGTGAAACTCAGGCTGGTTTTTAGGTAATTTTAACCTTATTTTACTTACCACTCTCAACAAGTTATACAAGACAGAGACATTATACAAGAAGTTTTTTTCTAAAACCGCTGTTTTATGAAATGGTATCTTATGTTCAAATTGCGAACATCAGTACCACGAAACTATCTTTCTATAAAGATGGTGGATTTTTAAATGAAATTATATTGTGAAATATTAATGCACAGTGAAATTTGCGTCTGCACTTCATATCGTATTTTAATTTGTAGCTAACTAGTCGACCTCTTCTAATTCCAGAAATAAACCTTATAGAATAAATCTGAATTTTCTGTGCATTCTTTAGTGGTACACAAGGACCATATATGATGTCACAGAAATTAAAACTGAAGAGAATGAGCGAATCACATAGCAATCTCCTAGGATCAGAATTTAAGACATTACGGGAGTTATACAATAGTTTTAATTTGAAAATTAATTTATTAATGTACTCAGAGATGTGGTTTTTAAATTGGAGATCAATTTCATACCAAAGTCTCAAATTTCCCAGTATGGAGCTGTGTGGAACTCCAGAACGAGAAGTTCGACCAGAAGATGTGCGACGATCGTTAATTAGTCTCTATTGTCGATTGCTTAAGTAGCTATCGAAAAATAGTCGTCAACAAAGTAAGCGAGCGAATAAAATTAATTATTATTAGTTGTTGTTTTTATTATAATAGCTATATTTAATATTAATTATAAACTGTTGTGAGAATCGTATTTCATTAAAAAATTACGCGGTGTCTGCCTGTTTTAGTCAATTCGAATTAAGTTTTCACCTCGAATTAAATCATCGGGTTCCAGTTTTTCAAGAATGGGTAAGAGATGATTTCCTAAACTTAAATATTAATTTGCTTTTCTTACTACTTACTAGATGAGTACTACAAAAACAAAAAGGCAAGCTGGAGTTTTTTCAGCCGATGCGGGCAGCCTATATGCTAGGAACGGCCCCGGGAAAAGATATTGCCCCAATATCGTTACGTCATGGTTTTTGGTGTTTTATATAATTAAATAAATCAAATGCGAATATTACGCTACTTTTGCATAAAGCGGCAGCAGTCAAAATCATCGAATTTCGTACAATGAGGAAAGAGAGCGAGAAAATGTGAGAGCCGAAAGAGAAGCCGAAATGCAAAATGTAAATCTTTTATCGGTCTGTGAAAATGAAAGCGGCGCTGACGGGCTGATTAAATCTAAAGCCGTCATTCTACGCTCCATTGCGTGTCATCTAGGTAATTGCCGGCATTACCGAAACTATTACCAAAACGTAATTACTGCAATATGCCGAGAATTCAGCAATGACAATTATACTAATTTGCACCTATTAGATATGTCTTGAGTTTGCCGCTTCGCTCTAGTCTCAGCTGACTAAACGAATCGGGTTTCGTTTTCTCCCCTCGTGTAATAATTATTAATTAGTCTAATCGGTGTTGAATGTGGAACGCCTTTAAAAGCTGTCTTCTAATTCCGAAGATCCTGTGATCGAGTGACCCAACGAATACTTAAGCGACTTTCAATGTTTGGCATTTGGTTTCATTGCAAAATTTTTACTTTTTATCTAGGACAGGTTGTACCACGCAGATTTGGGTCTATTTATGGGTTTTGCCTGTTGTTATCCATTAATCAACACTGAAAATTACTTTAACAAAATATCCCACCCGAGATAATAAAAAATAAATTTCAAAAAGTTGTTTAGGTATATTTATACATTTAAAATATTATATTTTTACATATACAGGGTGTTTGTATCTTCGTGGTAACAATTTTCTTAATTTAAATATAACATCCAAATTGTATTTCAACTATTATAATATCAACTCCTGCGTTGTGCCTTTTGTAGCAAATTTTGAATTTTATGTCAAGAGTCACGTTTGCAAGTCTAAATATATCTGTCGATAGTTTCTCATAGAAAGAGATGCACTTTAGTGGTCTGTGTTGATATTTTGGAAATAAATACAGGGTAATTAAAAATTAACGTTGAAGTCTTTAATTTCAAATGGAAATACCGGATTTTTAAAATTTTATCGAGCACTTGAGCAATTGAGCACTACAGAAATGTCACTATTTTTTTCCTAAGTCCTAAGTTTTCCAAATAAGAAACTGAATTATGGAGAAAATACTGCTAGTAATTAAAACAAAATGAAAAGAGAGTTTATTAATTGTCATAAAATTTTTAATTTGTCTATTAATTCGTTTAAAACAGTTTCTTGTAGGTTTCTGTCCGTCTCGATATTTTGCAGCAAGGTCAAAATGTTTTTGGTAAAATTTGTTTTATTTTTGGTCATTAAACAAAAACTTTTGTGTTAATTTGATGATTTTTATATAAGATTTATAAAAAATAATAGGTGACATTGCTTTGGTGCTGTATTTATTAATTTTCGAATATCAGCACACACCATTAAAATAGAACCTCTTCAAAAAGGAAATCAACCCCAAATATAAAACACTGAATATCAGTTGCAGAAATTGAACTGCAAACTTCACTTTTGACCTAAGATACAAAATGGGTAAAAAAGGTAAAACGTAGGTAGCGGTTATTATATATACAGGGTGTAATATTCAAACAAAATAAGTTATTGCTGGTTTATCAGTATATACCATTAAAGGAGAACATCTTCTATACGCAAATCAACTCCGAATATAAAACAATGACTTTCAGTCCGAGAAAGAAGTAGTTGTCTTTAGAACTGCAAACTGCGCTGTTGACATACAAAATGGGTGACAAACGGTAAAAAATACATAGAATTCAAAAATTTATTATTTATTATACAGGGTGTTTCATATAATATAAGAAAGTTATTGCTGCTTTATCCAGATTTTGAGTTGAGGTATGATCTCCATAATAAACATAATAAACATGCTACCCTATAAATAATATTTATAAGTAGCGACATTTTTATTAAATATTATACAAAAGATACATTATGCAATCATAATATTCTTTGTCTTTTGAGGAACTCTCACCTCCTCTTGGCATTTTAATTAAATGATCGACGGTCGTCGGCTCAGATATTCAAAAAAATAGAATTATAATATATTATATTGTTGTAATGGGGAGCCTTCAATTGCTTACAAGAGAGAAAAATATATTAACAAAATACTCCTTTTCCTTTCTTATTCATAAGTTATTGAATAAATTGGTATTATTATTATCTTATTTTACTATCGTATAAATTTTTCAATGTAGTATCACTCATTTAAGATGAGTATCTTTTTGCATTGTTTGATAATAAACAATACTCCTTAATTTTAAAAATTTTTTTCAACTATTATTGTAGGTATTTCTGGGGCTGACCTTCGATCGAATTTAATATACCTTCACTTCCATTTTGCGGATATGATTTGGACTCGTGTAATTGATATGCAACAATTTATTCTATTTTCTGCAAATAGACCGTATTACTGTTTGTGGTGACAAAGTTGCATAAAGTTGTGAGCGACAGTTCAAAACTCGAATATCAAACAAGCGCGGATCGCCGCATTTTCCAATTTTCGTCGATATTTTGTACCGCAATGTTAATAAATTTGGACTTATTCATGAAACATTTGATTAAACTTGTCCTTCATTCAACTTTGTGCGGATACACGTCAATTTAATGCTGAACGTAATTTGAATTTATGAATTTTAAGTTGCCTTTGATGTGTGTAATACCGTATTAAAAGTTTCCCCGGTCTATACGCCACATATTTATTTTGTAGGGAAATTTATGTTTGGAAAGGTGGTCGCAAATTTTTGTTAGTCTCTGGAAATCGCACAGTAGCGTCACATTTTTGATTTACAATTGAATATACGCAAAACAATAATTATTGCAAATATATTGTTAAGAGATTAACACAAAGCATAAATCCAGTCTTATAGTCTCACATATCCATATGTATGCCCCGTACTTTTTCAAAAATCTTTGATAATATCAGCATTCTTTACATATTGGAAGTTTTTGACTCTTTTTATCATGTCAAGATTTTGCTAATAGTTTTGTACTTTTGTAGCACATCATTCACATCATTGGTGCTGAAATTAATAGGATTTCATTTAAATCCTTCAACTCTTCATCACATAGAGAGCGCATTTATTTGGATTCCAGTCTTGGTCCCTTATTTAGACTATAGTATTTGGCAATTCATTAATAAAAGCAAAAGTTCAAGAATATATTCGTGGAAGTACTGAATGTGCTCTGGTTTTACGGTTTTTCCAGTTATAATTCGGCTTCTGCGTATTTCTTGCGCATACAAATATCACCATTGCTGCCATGTATAAATACTTTGCTGAATGTTGGTTCTGATATATTTTTCTTGTCTTTTGAAATATAAGTTTGTCACCAAGAAAGTGCAAGTATGGTGGGGATTTATTTTGATATATTTTTGATTTTAATATAATAAAAAAGCAGCGAGAAGGCCCAGACTGAATATTTCGTATTAAAAATGGAAAAACTAGATTGACCATGGGTTCCTCATAAGGTTTGTAATTGTTGTGCTGAGTGTTTACGGTCTTCGGTGTGATATGGAATGATTGCTAATTTTGCGTAGTAAATACTAAAAGTTATGATCGAAATCAATCGTGGAAGTATCTAGACTTCCAGTCCGCAAAATATCCCGTATTAAGTATTATGTATCAAAAGTGGCCTTCCGAAATAATTCACAAAAATCCGTCAAAGTTGCCTTCTCAAAATCAGCTCAGTCATTTAATACGCGAGTTGAATTTTTGAGAACAAGAATCAACACTGTTAGCATCAAATAAATTGTTTACTGTAATGACAACAAGACATGGGTTGACAAGGTAGTTGCATGCATTGTGAGCAAAAATAGATCCAAAATTGACATTATATTCAGGGCAACGAAGCTATTGTTACCATTGTACTAATCCTGTTTTATTGCAACCAATTTTTTTATTTACACATCACTATATACATCATATCACAGACTATTAGTAAGTTACATCAATATCGGAATTCTTCAACAAACTCCTTGAGGCGACTACAAGATCAATTTTATCTTGCAAGGACCCGACTTGAAAAGTGATACTCTTGTTGGCGTTCAAGACTGCGTCGACGATTTTTACTTCGGACTTTAGCTTCTCATTCACCACTCGCTGAACGACATTCTTAGGGGAGTCGCCTTCAGGCAAGGCACCATAAAGTTTAAGCCTGGTCGAGTACAGCGTATCTCTCGCAGCCATATCCCTGAGCAGTCTGTTGAGTTCTCGAGCTTTTTGCAACTCTCTGGTCAGGTTTACGATCGCCTCCGACAGGTTTAGGGTTAATGTTTCGCAAGAAGTACCCTTGGTCGAATCGGTCTGAGTACCTGAGCTCAGCGAAGTATCTTCCAGAGGATGGTATGGAACTATTTCTGGAATTAATACGTTTGTTTTAATTACACTTAAAGCTATTTATTAAAAATAACGCAAGGAGATGTGTCACTTGTGCTTAATTTTCGGTCGTCGATCAGGACAAACATGGCTTGGTGTAATTGAAATGTTTACATTTTTGTATTATTTAAAATTATTTTGAAATTTGAATGTTAGAATCACTAAGCTGAACAAATTTTCAGCTCGTTCAATTCGTTCTTCCCTCGACAATATCACGCAATAATATGGCAACAACGCATTTCAATACCTTTGTCCTAACCTAAATTATGAATAAAAGAACTGAAAACTAAAAAAAAAACTGAATTTTGTAAAAGAACTGAATTTTACAGTGATCAGAATTTATGAAATAAATATTTTTTGGGGCGCTGAATGATATTTAAAATATTAATGAAAATTTGGTTACCTATATTCTTTTTTTCCAATACCAAAATGCACAAAATTACCCCAATAGCAAACGTTATTACGTTTTGATACTTTTGCTCGTTTTCAAAAAATTTAATATTATCCCTTCTTCATTATTCTTCGTTGATCAAATCCAATGAATTGTTAAAGACTTACAAATTTTAAATAATTATTGAATTATTCAAGTGGTAAAATATGTATAGTAATTTGTGTTTTTCTCCGTGCCTAACGAGTCGATTTCTTCTACACACTAGAATAAAATGAACACGTTCTGTTCAGATAAGACATATTCAATGGAATAACCGTGATGACACTAGAAAAATATTCTTTGAATTTAAACAATTTTTTCTACTCGCTTTTTTAAAATATCCAATAAAGTGCGGAAAGTGTCTTTTTCTACTCCCGTCTGTAAAATACCTAATTATCCACCGATCTAGCGTGCGGGAAGCGTCACTTTACCACGTCAGTTTCGCTTCCCATGAATCCAAGCCACTTCGGACATTTCCGGGATTTGACCGCAAGGATTTCGGAGCAATCGGATGTTTTCGGAGATAATTCCCACGCTTTGAATTTTGACGTTTGTTAATTCTGACGGTCATGGCTGTGAATGTATTCGTGTTTTTTTACGAAAATGTACCCAAAAACTAACGGTCGTAGAAAAAATATGGTATGCAACACGTTCGGCATTCTGGACGCCCTCCAGACCGGCCTGGACGCCCGCGAGGGCGCCCCCCTTTAATACCAATACCAATACCAATACACGTTCGGTAAACTTTTTAACTCACTCGTTTATTAAAAACTCGTGAGTCAAATGCCGTTTACCGCACTTGTTGCATAATATACTATTTTACCACGGGTTTGGGAGCAATCGGGTGTTTTCGGAAATATAAACCACGGTTTGAAATTTGATGTTTGTCAAGGGTATGTCAGTGAATTAGTGATGTTTTGCAAAACCGCATCCATAAATTAATGGTCGTAGAAAAAGTATAGTATGCAACACTTTTTGTAAACTTTTTGCCACTCGGTTTTCCGCATTTTACTGCTTAAATACGTTAATAATTAATAAAATTATTCAAACTCCAAAGATTGATTAGTTATCGAGTTGGTGATTATTTTTTTTTTAAATTTAGTTAAAAAATGTTTTAATACAAAATATCATAAATACGATAAGAATATCAAAACGTAGTAATGTCACCAGCAGGTAATTTTATTGTATTGTAAAATAAAGTAATAAAACAGGAATAATTAAAATAAGGAGAAAATATTTCATAAAATAAAACTCATGTTGATAATGTAGATTAGACCCTTTTGCGATTATATCAGAAAACGCCATCTGGTATCAAGGTAAGAAGTCGTAATCGCTTCACTTATAGCACGATGACTCTAGAAGAGGATATTTTTATCCACTTCAGGTTTATTAAATCGCGTTAAGCTTCATAATTACTACCCCTTTTTTTGCAGAGATGGAAGGATACCCGTTACAACTGCAACCTTTTTAAAAACTATTTACAATCGAAAACAAGTTCGAAAATTAGGCGGAAGCTTCAATGAATAAATTACATTGCTAGTGTTTCAAACTCAAAGCGATACGATAACGAGATGCATTCGCAACGAGCCCTCCTCTATGGTAAAACAGAGTGCATATTCCTGTAGGCGCTTCCAATCAGGAGCGCGCCAGATCCTACGCTGCAATATTTATTTATTGTTCGCATCTTGTTAGCGCTCTTAGTTCGTGATCCGCTTCAACTTCAACTTTATCGTATTATCGCCCGGCTTTAATTAGTGATTGTGAATACTTATTTGAAGATCTGTCCGAATCTCTCTGCTATTTCCATTCCGCTTTTCCCCCAACCACCCTAATTTGTGCAATATATTTGTAATACTCCATCTCTAGCATACCTTAATTTTCTAACGACAGCGAACCAAACAGAAAGCAGTATCATGTATTAGAATCGAAAAACGTTTGGCCTGACATCGGGGATAGTTTTACAAAATGCAAACACGGTGACGGAAAAAAGTATATTATAGTATATACAATTTACTATTTAACGTAGTAATACTAGGATTACCGAATATCCATTTAATTTTTTTTAGGATATGTTCTCTCCAAGAGATTATCAAAAACCGAACAAGAGGCAAAAAATAACTGCATGACTCAAGGAGAATTGATGATTGACGAAAAATTTTCAAAATGATCAACTGGAGAAAAAAAGAACTTGTAAGCAGATAAAACTGATTGAGAGATTGTAATACTGTAAGTGTTATAATAGTATAGTTTAGGACAACGAAAGTTAGTTGGATAATATTATTTTTCTACTCCCGTCTGTAAAATGCCTAATTACACACCGATCTAATGTGGGGGAACCGCTAGTTTCGTTTCCCACGGATCTGAGCCACTTCGGACATTTCCGGGATTTTAAAGCACGGATTTCGGAGCAATCGGATGTTTTCGGAGATATTTCCCACGCTGTGAATTTTGACGTTTGTTAATTCTGACGGTCATATCTTTGAATGTATTTGTGTTTTTTTGCGAGAATGTACCCAAAAACCAACTGTCGTAGAAAAAGTATAGTATGCAACACGTTCGGTAAACTTTTTAACTCACTCGTTTATTAAAAACTCGTGAGTCAAATGCCGTTTACCGCACTTGTTGCATAATATACTATTTTACCACGGGTTTGGGAGCAATCGGGTGTTTTCGGAAATATAACCCACGGTTTGAATTTTAATGTTTGTCAGTGGCATATCAGTGAGTGAATTAGTTTGGGAGTAATCGGATGTTTTCGGAGATATTTCCCACGCCTTGAATTGTGAATGTCAGTGAATGTATTCGTGCTGTTTTGCGAAAATGTACCCAAAAACTACGGTCATACGTTCATTACACACTCACTCCGCTACGCTCCGCTCGTGTCAATTAAACTCGTGAATTTTTTTCACTGCACTTGTTGTATAATATACTGTTTTCTACTCCCGTCTGTAAAATGCCTAGGTACACTTTATCACGTCAGTTTTATTTTCCACGGATCTGAGCCACTTCGGACATTTCTGGGATTTTACCGCACGGGTTTGGGAGCAATCGGATGTTTTCGGAGATATTTCCACACCTTAAAGTGTGACGTTTGTCAATTCTGACGGCCATTTCGGTGAATGTATTCGTGTTGTTTTGTCAAAATGTACCCAAAAACTAAGGGTCGTAGAAAAAGTATCATTTATATCGCTTTTCACCCAGAAAACACATAGTATAAAGATATTAACTTTTATTCATTAACTAATTCATTACAAGTTCTCGGATAGTAGACGTAGACGTAGGTGAAGCAATTATAAGTAAAATTATAATTGGTATAATAATTCAAATTAGTTCTATAGTTTACTTTTGTAAAAAAATGGTTAAACTTATTTAGTAATAGTAAATAGCAAATAGTACCCTACGGATGATCGTAAACACGTATCGATTGGCCGATTCAGTTTAAATATAGCTTGACTGGTCGGCACCGTTAGAAAATTATCGTATGCTCTCTTCCCTAGTCTTGTTATTAGTATTTAGTTTTCATGCTTGAGCGACTGCCTTCAACGCATTCACGTACCCCGGGCACTACTTTGAGTTTCAATTTTGGTCCCTGATGTGGATAATATAATTTGTTATCGGAAATATTACCTATGACTTGAATGTTGAAATTTGAAATATTGCATTCGTGTTGTTTTGCATAAATGTTAAACTTTTTAAACTCATTTATTAAGCACTCGCTCCAATGGCCAAATAAACTCCTGGCTCATATGCCTTTTACCACCCTTGATGGATAATATACGATACTCTCCCATATTCCGGGTTAGGTTGTATTTGTTATGGAATGTTTATTTTTGACTCGTATTATTTATCGCTCTAGACTAAACATTTGTTCGTAATATTGTGGTCCCATGGGAACCCACTTTGCGTTCATTGAGAGTAACCCGTATTTTGCTTCCACTATCTGGAACCCAAGAGAGAATGCAAAGTAGGTTTTTAAGATATCTGAGATTCAAAATAAATACAAACATTGAGAATAATAATAATAGTCTTATTCGTTGAAAATTCAAAACTCGTACATGATTCTAGACTATCTGGTTGAATTCTCTTATCTTTTATCACAAATTAAACTACGAATACCATTGCAAACGAGAAAAGACCATTGTTATTGACTGAAACCGAACTCACCTAAGGGCAGAACTCCCTAATTAGTAAGCTACAAAGTGTGTTTAATTTCCATAGTCATTTATTCGATATTGATATTATTGCTTTATCATTTGAAAATTTTAAACGTAAGAAGAAAAATGTATTTTCATTTATGTTTGTTTTTTGTTACACAAACAGGTTAAACCCAGAGCAATGTCCATTTAAGAAATAAAATAAAAAAATATGAAAGCGATAAATTGAAAAAAGTAAACAATAAAAATAATGTTTCATGTTGAAAAGCGCAACAAATCCACTAATCTTATACATAGATAAAACGAACATAACTTTTTTTTACTTCATCTCTATTCTATTTATTTATTAATCAACAGAATACAGAATTATTATTCTTCTTATTGATTTATTTCGTTGTATACCTTAAATAAGCCAGAAAAGATTGCGAATTAGATAAGATAAGTGAGATTGTGTGTAAGCAGTGAAGATTTGCAAAATGAGAATAGAAACCTTAAAATGAACTTAGCAAATATTAATGCTCTAAATTGGTGATAAATAATAAAAGTAAACTTGATAAATTTTCTTACGACGCGTTGTAACTAACAGCGTTGTTTAAATCTACAATTATTAAATTGACGTAATCGCAGTTCAACGACTACGCACGCGACGATATCGTGGCTAATACGAACGTCATACCCACGTAAAATTTCATCGGCCGGGGTTTAAATGCAATCGCCTCGTCTAATTTTACCCAGAGGATGTGAGATGTAAACTAATTGCGACTGTGTACACATTTCGGTAAACAGCTTTTGATTATCTGCTCTTCCAAACGAAATTTACGCTTCCACTCCTTGACTATGATCAATCCCGTTAATCAGTGTCCCTCTCGGTCCCGTTTTAAAAACTTTGATATGATTTCATTTACATAACGAGCGACGTTAAATAGGCACGAGAAAATAAAAATTCCTTGATTTTTCAAGTACAAAATGATACGAATTGAAAATCAACTGTAAAAACAACTTTTTAGCTGTCGTTATATAAATTACCACCTAACACACATCTTGTCAAATGGACCAATTAAAACAATAAAATTAAATAAAAATAAAATACAATAAAAACAAAAAATGCCGCACTATAGCTGAGCGTCTAAGATAAGGATGTCTATCGTCTATCAACACCATAAGAGATATGAAGATGGTTAAATTTGAAGTTGCAAAATTTAATAACGTGCTGTTGAGGAAACTAAAAAAATCCCGTCACTGTCGGAGATACGACAAACAAACCGAAAATTTCCGATTTCGTTTTAATTTATTTCTTTTTTGTATTATTAAAAGAGATATAACAGAATAGGTTGGACAAACTGTATAAGGGTTAGTTTTGGTTAGTTGAAGGTGTTAGCTAAAGACAAGTACTAAATGTAAGGATCGATTCGAGAACCAATTTCAAGTAGAAAATTTCACATAAATGTGAGTCACCATTTTTGTTTCTTTAAAAATGCAGTGCTATGCAAGGAAATATCACAAATCAAATCACTAGGTTACATTTCCAACTGAAAAATTAATGAGAAATGTTACAAAAAATTACTCAAACAATAAAACGACCTAAGAGTAAATTTATATTTATGATGTATATGTTTATTGAAAATGGCAAAAATCACAGGGTCTTTTATTTTTATAAGTTTCATTGCTGTTTTTAACTGCCAGTGTCAGTTTGTCAATATTTCACGTTAAAATTGTTATCGCGCTGCTATCGTTTTCTCTATTTTAGTAAGAACGGAACTAGTGGATTTTTTATTACTAGTATTTATTAGTTTAGTTAGTGAATTCATAGTCTGGTAAACATTTTTGTTTGAGTTTTGTTGTTAATTACGTTTGGAGAATGTTGTTAATATCCGACGAATAAAAACTTAAATTACAGACTAGTTTTGATTGTTTTTTAGTATCATCTGTAACTGATCCAAACAAAAGCATTTATCGTCACTTATCGCGTTCATATATTGGAAAACAGTCGACTTAAAAGCAGATCCCGTGAAACTTGTTTCGAACGTTTTGTTTTCCAAAAAGAACTTTTGACGCAAAGAACTTTCTTAATTGATAGCTACTGTATTAATATTTCAATTTTATTTGTTGTTTTACACTAACATATTTCAATAACAAACGGGAAATTTACAATTTTCGAAGACAATTACGAAAAAGATTTAAAAAATTCTTCTGAATATGTCTGATTGAATTGTGGATAAAAATAACCAATTTCCAAATAAATACTTTCACAGGACAATTCTTTCAGCATATATGTATTAAACATGCAACAAAATTCTACTTGCGGCTACCTGCCGACTTCATATACAAGCCAAAAATCGGGATTCGTCAAAAACTCACCCTCAACGACAAATCTTCCATGGTCGTATCTGTATCCAAGTCCGTCTCTGATAATAAATAACCAATAGTAAATCACATCTCCGATTTTCAACTTCGTGGAACGATCTTCAAAAACCCATTGCTCTCCGGTCCTGCTTAGTATGTCTTTGGAAAACTGTCCTGCCTCAAGTCCATCCATTTTTTCGTTGATCTTGCCGTGGAACGCGAACAGATGGATGCCATTTTCGTGAGGTACGCTTACGCGGAAACCTTCGTCAAAGACGGAAATCTTGGGTTCGGGTACCGTGTATAGACTTCGCACATGGCGTCCTTCAACGATCGCCACGAAGCAAACGGTCAGACTTAATACGAACCTCTTCATGTTCGATTCGGATTGTGATGTAATACCAAGACACTCGCTATTAATATAGAAGTTGATATGTTTGATGTGTGCTACGGGGGTTTTACGAAAAGTAAGAAGCGACGAAACGGAGAAAAGTGTGAAATCACAAGGCACAACACACTAAAGCCTATTTCTAGTAACCCATTGGTATTGGTATTGGTATTAAAGGGGGCGCCCTCGCGGGCGTCCAAGCACTTAGGCCACCAGATGGGCCCGTTGCGCCCCCAGGCCGCTCTAGAGGGCGTCCAGAATGCCACTCCTCGTATAGAAGGTCAGCAACTCCTTAAGCCCAATACCGCGCACTGAGTCCGGATCGATCAGGGCCGTTCCGAAGACTCGCAATCTTGCCCATGTCAAGGCAGGGCACTCGGTGAGCAGATGATACGGGGTCTCCTCCCCCTCCATGGACCACCTACACTCCGGGTCGTCTCCAATGCCTAGCAAGCAAAGATGCCTCTTAAGCCTGCAATGTCCTGTGTAGGCCCCTGTTAGTGCTAGTAGAAAAAACTTAAAAAAATGCTATTCCACATACACTCACACTTAAAATCTGAAAATGTTATATTAATAAATTGCTTAGTTTTTATATTTATGGATAGATAGATTTATAGAATCCATACGAAAGTAAAAAGAATATAATAATAATAATAATAATTTATCGCCCCACAGTATTAATACCAATTACACGACCAATAATAACAGATATTTAATAATGTTTTTCTTATTATAGTCCACCCACCAGTTGTGTTGAAATACATATCACAAATGTACTTATTCTGAACTACTGATGCTTTAAATATATCCCAGTGCTTACTAGCTTTGTTGTTATTTGTTTTTATTACATAAAACAGCGATTTTTTATATTATTCACTATTAGTTGTGAGGAGATTGATCCATATTCTTGATGATATTGTTATGGAGGACTTTTTATAATATATAAATACTACATATGAAACTTCGCTGTTCCAGTAACTGAAGACTGGATTTGCCAAACAAGAACTTGTACTGTCTTGTACTGTACTAAAGCACTGTATTGCAGTGTAGATACAATCATGGTTGAACAAAATTGTAACCCTTGGTAGATTCATACAAGTCCTATAATTGCTATTAATAAATCCGAACAGACAGACAGAGCTACAAACTCATAACTATAGAATTTAGTTGATTATGAGAGCACCAAGGAGAAATCAAACTGCCCTTGCAGGCTGACGAAGTCATCAACACAAGTAATGGAAACTACTATTTTTTCAAAGAAACTTGCACAGGCTACTGTAATGCTTTTTACAAAACTTCTGGATTCCTCCTGTGTCGGTTTTTGCTTAGTCGAAATTGCTGATGCTTCGCCAATCATCCTGTTGGTTTCTTCAGACCTTGACTGAAACTGTTTCAGTCTACTGATAAGAATATCTCTTAGTTTCTAATTCAATGGTAAAACGTATGTTATGGTGCATATAGTTCAAATGGCTAAGAAAATCTCGAAAGGATTCTTGATCATGTGGCCAAATAATTTTGGTTTTGGATGGAAGGTCTCAAGGGCTTTCTTCTCAAAGGCTTTATAAATATATTTTGCGATGACTCGTGCCAATAGAGAACCCGCAGCTTTTCCCGACGTTTGGTCAAAATTTTTAGCATTATAAGAAAAACATTTTCCAGGCAAGCATTTATCAATTAAGATGAGAAAGTTTAGTTAGCAACAATTGAGAGAAGACATATGTTTAATAACCATCCTTTAAATCGAACTCTTCAGTTTACCCTCGTAATTGACGTTATTGTTTATCAAATAAAAGCGAAACCCGAATAGCGGCGTGGATTTTCCCCATCTGCTTAAACATGGGGATTTATTTTGCAGAGGATTTGCCACTCTCCGTGTAAATGAAATTTTAGTGACGCCTTCCGCTGCGTAAACTTTACGCGGGAATCAAATAAATATCTGGGAAAGCACGTCCACTTATTTTTTGAGAAAACTTATTTAGGTCATTTGCCGCTTAAGAGATAATTTGGATGAGTGCAATTTTTACGACTATTGGAGATTACATTAAATAGCAATTATTCTTATAAGAGCATTTAATGAAAAAAAAAGTTTTTAAATAATATCTAACGCATGTTAACAGAACTGCAGTAATGTATTTGCAATTTGTAGACAAACCAATGCGGTTAATGGATGCTTTCGTAGTAGTTATTTTTTCTTTAATTTCATAGAGTGCATTTAACTTTGCTAATTTGAAGGAAAAATGCAGTTTGAGTTGTCCGTCTCAATTTAAATACGATAAAATAGATTTCCTGGTAAGATGTTATTCTTCGGCCATTTACCACAAATCACACCATAAAATGGTTTACTGTCGCTTATTCGGGTAGAAGGATAAAGAAAGAAATAAAAGCCGAGTGTCCAAACCCTACAGTTTGAGTTTCTACGCAGTAAAAGACGCATGCGGGCTCTTCTAGAATACGCAGAATTAGATGACTGTTAAACATACTAAATTAACCCCCGTTTTTTGATATATGAATTTACCGACCCCAGCAACATATTTATATATCTATTTCCGGTGGTATAATGATATTGATAATTTTGTTTATTGCGTGCACCACAAGATACGAATATTATTAAATATAATATTAACGATCGCATTAAATAACTTAGAATGCTATATTACTGTTTTCAAGATATTAATTGGATTAAACCCAGGACTTAACATTAAACAATATTCTCTTTATGGTCTTATTTTCAAAATGAAATTTGGTTGGCATTTTTCAACCCATAGGAAATTTTAAATGAAAAATCTGAAGTGATGGAGTGATGAGTGAGTGGTGTAGTGTTTTGATTTAAAACATTATAGAGTGGTTCAACAAAAACCTCTAATAGAAATATGGCCCCAGGAAAGTATGTATACAGATGCATGGTTCAAATCAATATTATATTGTGTTATGTTTTCTAACAAATATTTATTTTTACTTCTTTATATTGTTAATGTCTTTTTTTAAGAACTAAAGTATAATTTTATTTTTAATTTCATAAGTTAATGTTCCTTTTGCATTTGTCTCAGGTATTTTTTGGTAACAAGCTTTTATTTATTCGGTGCAAACCTAGGTACTTGCTTTATCAACTAATGTGATACTGGTAAATATTATGAAAAATCCTTCTTTTCGGTCACAATATCGGAGAATAAATTGGGGAATTGTGAATCATTGAGTTCTTTACCAGCGCTCAGCTTAGCTTTAAAGTGTCACCAAAAGAAAACAAATTAAAGAATTTTATGAAACCATGCTGTTATTCAATGTGAGGAATAATGTAGATTTTTATTAAATTACGCATACATTACAATTTGGATTGCACCTTAAAAACAAAGTTTTCCCATGCCAGTGTTATATATCGTTACATTGCCAACCACGACTGTTAAATCTCTTATTTTAAGAGAAACACCAGAGAAACACACGCTACCTCTAAATATTCAAATCATTTCATCTTCATTATCATCATTCATCTGTTATTTGGTGCAAAATATTGTTGTCCTTTTCACTCCCTTTATGTCTATTATCTCATTCAGATTAAAAAAACACATTTCATATATGCACGAATTATTATTGTAGATAGACGTATGTTATGAATTCAAAAGTCGTTAATTATACATTTTTTTACAACAAAGATATCGTCAGGAATGGTGATAAAAGGTCATCAGTATTTTCTATCAAAGTAATTTAAATTATATTAAAGTTTTTTAAAATACATTGGCGTAGCGATTTCTCTCTCTATTTCTAACCTTACTTATCAAGAATCATGATTTGTAGTACATATTTCTGTTTAGAAACAGACAGAATGCAGATATAGGGGTAGTATTAGAGATAGATGGAATACAGATCAAAATGAAAACGATTGAAAATGTTAAACAATGTGTTTAACATTATCCTCGCGTTCCCGTTGCTTTTTTTTTTCTTTTACGATATACCTCGGCAAGTCGTAACCCGGAAAATGAAACGTTATATAAGGCCCATCAAATTTTAAGCGCGAACATAATACATACAGTGAAACATTAATGTTTCGTCAACGATTTTCAATAGGAAGTTTTATTGAGCGTATAACTTTACAATCGGGATAAAATTAAGTGTAAGTTGCTTAATATCTCAAACCGTAATAGGAGATAAAAAGACGTTATGTATTTCCGGAGTGAGTTTTCATTTTACGGCCTGCGCAAAATAAGAATGATTATGTCATTAGTCGGAAGTTTTAAGGACCCGTTTGATTGTCGGCCGTTATTTTGTAAATTGGTTCGTCAAAAAGGCGAGCTCGGCAAGTATTTCAGCCTTAATTGGACGGCAATCATTAGCAGTTACCTGAAAAAATTTTAAGAACGGCCTGTTACCAAAAGTTTGCCTCTTAAGACTTTTTTTTATATTATATACATATAATTGATAAAATCTGAATATACAACCCTCCCAAAGAAGCCAGGAGCGAAGATCTGTGGCGACTACCGTACTATTAGCCTGATGAGTCATTTGTTGAAACTATTTCTAAAGGTAATTCATAATACGATGATATCGAATATGCGAAGAACAAATAGCGCCAAATCAGTTTGGATTTGTTAACGCCTTATTCAGTGTGCAAGTTTTATTTTTAAAATGTAGGGACCTGAGCTGTGATGTTTTTGCCTGCCTAATAGACTATAAAAAAGCGTTTGACCGTGTTAGATATGACCAGATGATAGATGTCCTATATGGATGGAAAAGATCTGAAAATCATAGCTAATCTCTATTCTAACCAGTCCGCAGTCCTACAGATGGTGAGCATGTCGAGATTTTGCGGGGTGTTAGATAGGGATATGTCATTTCTACCCTGATTGTCAATCTATATTCTGAGCGTGTCTTTAGAGGAGCACTTAAAGATACAAATCAAGATATATCCATAAATGGACTCAAACTTAACAACCCGCTTTACGCAGATAGTATTCGCGGATACAATAGGAGGCTTGCAAAAGCTAATAGACAAAGTTACAGAGACAAGTA